AATAATAAATAAATTAATAAATTATTATTATTATTATTATTATTATTATTATTATTCAGAAAAGCTTTGCAAGCATCGGTGACTTGCATGTGACTTGGCCTCCGAAGTGGGAGGTAGAACAGGAAGCAGAGTGTGAACCAGCAGGTGATTAGTTAAATTTATTTATTTAAATACTTTAATTTAAAAAACCAAAGCCATCTTTAGGGGGGGTACTTATGTGGTCCTGTCACCATTGGATAAGTTGTGGTTTTTTGGGGGGTGGGTGGGAGGAATGAGGGAATGAGTGGCTATTCAAAATAGGATGATCTAGTTACATTTATATATCACCACCTTCTAAAAATTCAGTACCATGACTACTTCCTTTGGCACAACCCCATGACGTCCCCTCTGCATTATATTTGCAGCAGCAGCAGCAGCAGCAGCTGTATTAATGGCTCCGTTGGCACACAAGGAGTCTCCAAGCGACTTACCAAATTTAAAAACATAAAGCATGGCATAAAATAAAAAAGAACAATGTATTATAATAAAATCCACATTATATCCTATAAAACAAGCAGCAGCAAAAGCTCCAGCAGCAAAATACACCATCAATAGACAGCAAAATCATCACAAAGGTATGGGGGATGTCTTTACTTTCTTTGTCTGCCATGTCACCATCGTTTAAGCAACTATTCCAGTGTGAAATTAAATGCAGAAGAGACTATACATCACGTAAGTCATTTTGTAATGACAAGAGTGCTAGAGTTTTAACATAAGACCTGAATGGGGCTTATTACTTGTGATTTTGGTGCTTTGTTGTTGTTGTTTAGTCATTTAGTCGTGTCCGACTCTTCGTGACTCCATGGACCAGAGTACGCCAGGCACTCCTGTCTTCCACTGCCTCCTGCAGTTTGGTCAAACTCATGCTGGTAGCTTCGCGAACACTATCCAACCATCTCGTCCTCCGTCGCCCCTTCTCCTTGTGCCCTCAATCTTTCCCAACATCAGGGTCTTTTCCAGGGAGTCTTCTCTTCTCATTAGGTGGCCAAAGTACTGGAGCCTCAGCTTCAGGATCTGTCCTTCCAGTGAGTACTCCAGGCTGATTTCCTTAAGAATGGAGAGGTTTGATCTTCTTGCAGTCCATGGGATTCTCAAGAGTCTCCTCCAGCACCATAATTCAAAAGCATCAATTCTTTGGCGATCAGCCTTCTTTATGGCCCAGGATTTGGGTTCTATGCCTCTGCTAATACAAATCTGCTGCCTGTCTTGTAACTTCTGTTGCCGATGGACACACCAGTTTCTCCCTCTAATGCCTGCCCACCACCCCTTGGACTTAAGTGTCTACAACCTGCAAACCAGTCAAGATCTGGGTGCTTGGGGGAAAATGACGATCTAAACTATCACACAGTAAATGCATATGGCTCTTTTTCTACTATCGCCTCCTGAGATATGATCAGTGGTCTAAAAGGCAGAGTTAAGTGCCATATATTACTTAAGAAAATGCTTTGATGACAGTGGGTTGATTTAATGTTACATCCAGCAGTGTGGACCTCCTTGCTTTAGCTGAGTTTATCAAACACAAGTTATAAATATTCTGAGATGATGCCAAGATAAGAATAAGGCAGGGAAGATTAATTCAATCCATTACTGCCCTGAAACCCTTCAGTGTCCAATATAGCAAAAGCTGAGATAGCTAAACACAGAAAACACAAAGAACATCTCCATTCAGTTACTGCTGGTAATTAGAAATCGTTTACAGCCCTCAGTCCAGTTTGCCGCTTTGCATGTAGAGAATGACGTTCGATGCAGAACAAATTTGTACATATCTCAGAAAGTGTGGGGTTCATCCACATAATCTAGCCACACAAGATGGATCTCATACATGTCGTGTAGAGGTATATAGGGACACAAGTGGCGCTGTGGTCTAAGCCACTGAGCCTCTTGGGCTTGTCAATTGGAAGGTCTGCAGTTCAAATCCCCACGGCGGGGTGAGCTCCTGTTGCTCTGTCCCAGCTCCTGCTAACTTAGCAGTTCGAAAGCATACCAGTGCAAGTAGATAAATAGGTGCCGCTGTGGCAGGAAGGGAAAACAGCGTTTCTGTGCACTCTGGTTTCCATCATGTGCCAGAAGCGGTTTAGTCATGGTGGCCACATGACCCGGAAAGCTATCTGTGGACAAACGCCGGCTCCCTCAGCCTGAAAGCAAGATATCAAAGAGAACAACAACTGCCAGACTTTTAGAAGACATCTGAAGGCAGCCCTGTTTAGGGAAGCTTTTAATGTTTGATGCATTACTGTATTTTAATATTTTGTTGGAGGCTTCCCAGAGTGGCTGGGGAACCCCAGCCAGATGGGCGCGGTATAAATTTTTATTTTATTATTATTATTATTATTATTATTATTATTATTATTATTATTATCATCATCATCATCATCACTGCAAACCCATAGTTGCCTTTGACTGGACTTAAGTGTCCAGGGGTCCTTTACCTTTTTTCTTTTTTATATATAGGTACCTACCATACCTTGCACTCTATGTGCTTCATACATCCATACCATGGAGTCATGCTGAAAAATCTTCCTTACATTGCTTCTTTTAAGAAATATGCTCCTTAGAAGACTTCTCTAGTTCCCCCAGCAACAGCAAGGATATAGTCCCCCAGCATTCACTACCACTTATCATAAGCAGCAGCAGCAGCTAAGTGGTGCTTTCACCTATTCCTACATGCACTGCTGTGTGGTGTGGTATCAGGAACACTAGTTTTCCTTACATAGAAAATTCTGACTCTTAGAACACTGCATGAACTTCTTCAGGGACAAGAGGGATACAAAGGTTAAAGTCTCAAAACAGCCTGTAGACTGAGGTTCATAACGTTGTATCCACAGCAAAGGACCAAGAGGGTGAGATTTTCAATTTGAGTGACTTTTCCATAGTTTTCCTGAGGATTCTGGCTGCCTGAGGGAATTTTATCTGAGTGCCACTGAAGACGGCTTATGCAATGTGGACAGAGAGAGGAAGGAGACATCTCTGGAATACAGGGCCATTTCTACATGCCTATCAATATTCAGAGGAGAAGCTGAATACCAACCAGAAAGCTTTTAGCTGTAATCTAAAGTGGCTGAAACCACACAATCAAATTTGACCGGGACGATGGTTTACCAACTCAGACCAAGATTTGAAATAAATGATATATCCAATTGGTGCCCTTGCATGAGCTCAAGGGCTTTTGATCCAGGGGAAATCCTTTATTCATTTCTATCAGATTTATGACCCTGCTATAAAGGTTCAGAAGTGTGGGTATATATTGATATGTTAATATGATTGGATTCAAAGTACGAAAACCATGTTTTAAAGCCATGTTTTATGATATAAACTCTCATTGAAACTTATTCGAATGTTAGGAACCATTTGCAGGTGACTGATCAGTGCATAGATAGTTCGTTCTAATTCTTTAACCTAAAAAAAAAAAAATCCCTAAGAGGGGAACCCAAAACAGATAACTGAATTAAGCAGTTCTTATCCATCAAATATAGATTTTATATCTATTATAAAGCACCATAAATGTCTCTCAATGAAACAAATATTATGGCTTGCTCAAGACCTGCACAAATGAGGCAAATCTGAACTTGCTGTAGATGGCTCATGGAATCTCGTCTCCATCTCTATTTTTAACGCTGCAGTTAGTCATTATAGGCATTTAAAGGCTGATTAGGTTTGCAGAATAGTTAAAACAAAATGCTAACCATACAGAAAGATAAAGCTGCTTCCCTCTCAGTAAAAGGATATGCATGAAGGAATAATTTTAATTAACATTTTGGGTGATGTTTCAATGAGAGCATCTCTGTGCTCAAAAATTTAAACCAAAGCGTAAAGTAAGTCATTCGGGTCAGCGTTAGGTGAGTAACTCAGACTTGATCTTAATGGAGTTGAACCTTCTGTACCACCTACACAATCTGGTTCACATTTTTCACAAAAGGAAATCATATATTATGCTTGAGACAATGAAGTGTGACTGATATGCATACAACTGATTAGCTAGAAGCAAACCAATATTTAGCTTAGTCCTCAAACGTACATAATTCTAAATGAAAACATGCATTCTAGTTAGCTCTTCTGCTAGTCTCTCACTTTACATCTTCCGCTGAAAATATGTGTAGTTCTCCAGTATTTCATCTACTGAATATGTACTCCAAAACATTACAGTTTACTAAGATTGGCAAGTGATTAGGTTTTGATCGATTAGCCACATACTTAAGCTATTAATCAATAAATTGACAATATAAATATGCATATTACCATTTATCACTTAGTTCTAGAAGGTCAAAGCATCTTCGATATTTTCTATTTCACTCCATATCACAGCAACAAAACAAAATAACTTCAACACCATCAATAATTAAACTTGGAAACCCATTAATCATCAAAGAAAAACTTGATTGATTAAACTTCCAGTTAAAGCAATTCAATCTCACATATGAATCCTGCATATCAGTACATTCCTTATATATATATTAAATCCTAGATGCTAAATTTTATTTGTATTGACAGATATTTCACGGCAGAATTTCCCAAAAGGAAATGCCCAAAAAGAAAAGTGGCAATATACCTTTGGCCATAGGTTGTACTTAATCATCACAGGAAAAAGATTTGACTGAAATGTTAGTAAAATATTTCACTCACATATTTTGGTTGACCACAATCACATCCAATCCATCTACCCTATATAACTAATTAGGAAAAATATATAACCAACTACAGGCAACAGTTTGAGATTGAGCTCTACTGGAAATGAACTCCAAGATAGGGCTACATGATGAAATCAGTCACAAATTGCTTCTATAAATCTAATTAGCAGTCAATGGATCTTTAAAAAAAATCTTACCAATATATGAGTGAGACTGCATGATTCAGATGAAGAATAGTTGTGTTCTGACCTGGGGAATTATTCAACTGCTCAACAAATTTCAATTTCTTAACAAAGTCCTCTCAAGAGAGGCAGCAAAGACTATTCATAAAGTTACCTGTGCATTTCTTTATATTGCTGTTCCTCTTTCCATGAGAACCCAACTTGCATCCAAAGTTTTCTTCCCAGAATTCTGCAAACCACACATTCCTTCTGTTATTTGCTAGCGTTCGGCTTCTAAAATATCTATCGAAACCTATGATGAAAACAGACACACACACACAAAAAAAAACAAGCATTAAAATTACATCTTACTATGTAAAGTGAAATGCTTGCTTTGAATTGTATAGAAACACACATACGTATATCACGTAAAATATTTTAATAAATACCTAAATCCCTTTTAAAAAAACTATTGTATGTCAGGCAAAGAAAATCCTACACAGTGGTACCTTCGTTCTCAAATGCCTTGGTACTCAAACACTTTAGTTCTCAAACACTGAAAACCCAGAAGTAAGTGTCCTGGTTTTGGAACGTTTTTCAGAAAGCCGAATTTCTGATGCGGTTGTCAGCTATCGTTTCCGGGGCGCCTGCACCAATCAAAAGCTGCACCTTGGTTTTCGAACATTTCGGAAGTCAAATGGACTTCCAGAACGGATTAAATTTGGCACTTTTGTTTTTACTATTTATTTTGCGTTTTTGAGGCTTTTTCAGCTAATTTGTTTTTGTGACTGTGTGTAACCCAGTTCAGCTACTGATTGATTGTGTGACTGCAGAAATGGATAAAAGTGCCCCATCCAAACAATGACTATCATCAGTGCAGGTAAGATTTTTATTTTTTATTTTTTATCATCTGCAATATATCTTATTTATTTTATAGTACAGTACATTGATTCTTGCTTTCCTTTTATGGATCAATGGTCTTGTTAGATAGTAAAATTGATGTTAAATTGTTGTTTTAGGGGTTGTTTTTAAAAGTCTGGAATGGATTAACCCGTTTTGCATTACTTTCTATGGGAAAGCGAGCCTTGGTTTTGGAACGCTTTGGTTTTGGAATGGACTTCCGGAACGGATTAAGTTTGAGAACCAAGGTACCACTGTACATGTTTTTTTCAGATGTAATTCCCACTGAGTAAAATGAGTCTTACTCCTTAAGTAAGTATGCTCAGGATTCTAGCCTAAAGTCTGCATTGGTGAAGATCAGAAAAACCTAAGTTGCATTTAGCTTCCGTGGCGCATATTCATGTAGCACATGAACATAAGTATTATAAATAATAACTTTTTAATATTTACTGTTATCATCATTGTTATTATGATTAAGAATAAGAATAATTTCTTTAAAAAACCAGCATCCCTGATCTGGGGAACATTCATAAGTTGTTACACCTTAATGCCATTCCGGAAGGGTTACCGACCAAAGTAATAAATGCCACCTTTTTGGACAAGGTCCTTAAGAGGGTGGTGGCTGTTGACTTCCATGCATTCTTGGAGAATACACGTTACCTAGATCTATTTAAGGGACGCAGGTGGCACTGTGGGTTAAACTACAGAGCCTAGGACTTGCTGATTAGAAGGTCAGTGGTTCGAATCCCGGTGACGGGATGAGCTCCCGTTGTTCGGTCCCTACTCCTGCCAACCTAGCAGTTCGAAAGCACGTCAAAGTGCAAGTAGATAAATAGGTACCGCTCCAGCGGGAAGGTAAACGGTGTTTCCGTGCACTGCTCTGGTTTGCCAGAAGCACCTTTGTCATGCTGGCCACATGTCCCAGAAGCTGTACACCAGCTCCCTTGGCCAATAAAGCGAGATGAGCACCGCAACCCCAGAGTCGGTCACGACTGGACCTAATGGTCAGGGGCCCCTTTACCTTTACCTAGATCTATTTAAATCTAGCTTCAGGCTTGGTTTTTGCATTGAGGCAATCTTGGTCAACCTGATGGATGATCTCTGTTGGAAGAAGAACTGGGGGAGTGTAACCTTCTTGATTCCGCTTGATCTCTCATTGGCTTTTCATACCCCCCACCATGTTGTCCTGCTGGACTGAATTTGGGAGTTGGGGACAAGGGAGTATGGTAGCTTCATACCTACCTCCAAGGCCAGTTCTATAAAAAGCATTAGGGGACTTCTGCTCAGCCTATGGCAGGTCAATGGGGGTTTGGAGCACGGTGTTATTGATTTGCTGATGACACCAAAACTCTATTTCTCCCCATCATTGTAATCAGGTGAGGGGATACAGATGCTGGAAGCAGTAATAGACTGGAGCCAATAAACTGGCTGGAGTGATGGGAACTGTAGTTCACCAACATCTAGAGAGCCACATATTAGCCACTCCTGATGTAAACTGACTAACAGGGCCACTGCAAGGTCTCACCAGAGACACTTTCCATCACATGCAACACAATCCCTTTTCTTAACTAGACGTGCCCAAGATTAAACATGGGATCTTTTACAACTAAAGCATTTATTCTGTGACAGAACTTTGATCTGTCCCCATATGAAATCCATTTGAAGAGCTTCAGTCCATGAGGCTACCCTACAGAAAATATCCTTGTCTACTCCAAAGGTATTAAAAGACATGTTCTTTGCAACTCTTGCTTTTAGATCGGTTACAGGACTTCTGCCCGTTATAGCACCATTTTAGAATCTGCAAGTAAATAGGATGGTATAGTTTGCTTCCTGGCCATAAGCAACAGGCTCATCAGATAACACAAGGAAATTGGCCTGGAGGGTGGTGAAAGAGCACAAAAAGAGTTACGGCTGACATTGCAAGAAGGCGATGTGAATGGTGGGGGGAAACTGGGCATATATCACATACAGCCTGTGGGAAACAAAATTTACAAATACAGCTAGTTGTAGAATGAAATTTCTTTGTATTTTGCAGAGGTTGCATTGGAAGTGCAATGAAATCTGCATTGACTGATTCACACTACTGGTCTGAAAAACTATTTGGCTCAGTAATTACACATAAGGGAACCAAGGGATAATGCCGCTGAAGGAAAAACAGTGCACAAGTAAGTAAAAGTCTCTCTCTGTCTTACCATCAGTATACCATAAAGGAGTTTTAACTCCCTGCTGCACTGAGCTCAAGGAGATCTCTAAATTTTAGGGACTCCATAGACCAGAGTTGATGGGATTGTCTTACCATCAATGGAAGCTCTTTTGGGCAAAATGGTGACTGCGCCTTCTGCAATCTCCTCTTGCTGGTAGACAGGTGCAATCTTAGACCCCCAGCTGTCTGAGCCTATCCAAAGAAAATGTCCAGTTTGATTGGTTTTCTTTGCTGCTTCTAATATTCTCCTGCAAGTAAGTAAACAGAAGAAGTCATTCTTTTAAAATTGACACTGAAAATGGTTATGCATAAGGCAATTGCAAAAGTGGTTGCTTTTATCCTGTTCATCAAGCATTCTTTCTGATAGAACCAAGTATTCCCCCTGAAAATTCAATCCTGTACATGGTAAAATTTGCCTTTAACCTTGCTTTCATGCTTCTTCAATATTCTTTTCTTTTTCTTTTTCTTTTTCACAACCCCAGGTTACTTGGGGTGCCAAGTTCAGATCAGAGACAAAACTCTTAGGGCTCATATGAGCCCACTTTAAATGAGAGTTGAGTTTTCAAAATCTCCATATACTTCTCTGGCTTCGATAAAAATCTGAGCCACAGTAGAATTCCTGGCTTCCACCCTGTTTACTCCTGCTAACACTTGCTGTTACCCCAAAGCAATCCCTGCAATCCTTACACCCAAAACATGTTCATCCCTTTGCTTTACTCACTTGTCAAGCAATGTGCTAGGAGCAGCAGTGCTAGGAGCAGAAGTAGAAGCAGTGGGTAGGGGAGACAATGTTGCTCCTACAGTTTGGTGGGGATGTGTTTTCTTCCACCCCTTCTGAGAGAAAGAGCCATGAGATCGCTGCTGCTCCAATAAGGAAGTGGGGAGGGAGTTGGTCACATGCCGACAACTGGCCAATAGAATGATGTTCGGGAATGAGTAGTTAAGGCGGTGCCTCCCGCAAACCTTACTCCAGACATAGGCAAATGCAGTCCTCAAGATGTTTTGGGACTACAATTCCCATTATCAATGACCACTGGTTCTGTTAGCTAGGGATGATGGGAGTTGTAGTCCCAAAACATCTGGAGGGCCGAGTTTGCCTAGGCCTGCCTTACTCTCTCCAGATTTGAAATGCCCTTCTCCCTTTATGCAGGTTGAGATATAGGCTAGCTGCTAGTTTCACAGGGTTGAGTGAGAAATTTTGGGTGGCCACTCAACTTTAAAATCTCTCCTTTTTTAACTTACTCCACCCTGTTGGGAATATTTAATTGGCATTTAGAGAGAGGCGTGACTTTGCTTGCCAATTTGGCATTGAGTTTGGGCAGGTGAGGAAGCAGGAGGAGAAAAAAAACTCTAGGTTGACTGAGGCAATATTGGGTTGGGGTGGCGCTGTGGTCTAAACCAATCAGAAGGTTGGCGGTTCGAACCCCCACAACAAAGTGAGCTCCCGTTGCTCTATCCCAGCTCCTGCCAACCTAGCAGTTCGGAAGCACACCAGTGCGAGTAGATAAATAGGTACTGCTGTGGCTGGAAAGTAAACAGCATTTTCATGTGCCCTGGTTTCTGTCACGGTGTTCCACTGCGCAAGAAGCTGTTTAGTCATGCTGGCCACATGACCCGGAAAGCTGTCTGTGGATAAACGCCGGCTCCCTCGGCCTGAAAGCGAGATGAGTGGTGCAACCCCATAGTTGCCTTTAACTGGACTTAACTGTCCAGGGGTCCTTTACCTTTATTTTATTGGGTTGGGGCACCCTTCAATCATCTGTGGGTACATTATGTCTGAAGAGCTTGGGGCAACCTGTGAAACATGGCATGCACATTTGGGTGTACACTGAAGAACTAGGCCTGGGTATGCATGTGGGGACCAAATGAAGGTTTATCTGACAATGAAGGGGTTTTTCTTTCTGGATCCTTAGCTGAGGAGCCACATCTTAAGGCTGTAGCACATGCCATGGATCTGGTATGTGTGGAAGAGAGTGATTTCTCTATAAGAGTCTGACAAAGTTTTTGCCTGCCTGCCCATTGAAATGCAATTTGTTGGATTGGATCAATTTGGTCCATTTGACCAGCAGGTCCCCTATTTCATGATATTTAAATCAATAAAACCCATGCCATCTCTTGAATTTTCAGCCTGGGGTGGGGAGAATGAAGGTTTTCCCCTTCCATCCATCTTTCTGTGTCACACTGATGTGATAGCTGGTTTCCACAAGAGCTCTTCCATGCTCCCATGGGCTTTTTGACCATTATCCAGCACGTCACTGAGACAAAGAGAAAGGGAGGAAAGAGGCACACATGTCTTCCTCCTCCTCAAGCTCTGCTGCTGCTGTTCACATCGTTTTCACCCCTGCTTGAATGCAAGCCAAGTGAATGCACAGTATTTGGATGGCTGGAGATTGGTGGGGGTGATTTTAGGAAATAGCAAGATCATGGGTCCATTTTTTCCAAGTTATTAAACTGGCTAAGAAAACTGGTCCATGTTTTTTTTTCTGATTTTGCTACCCTCCAAAACACACACACACACACACACACACACACACACACTTGACTAATGTCCAAGTTACCGTATTTTTTGCTCTATAAGACTCACTTTTTCCCTCCTAAAAAGTAAGGGGAAATGTGTGTGCATCTTATGGAGTGAATGCAGGCTGCGCAGCTATCCCAGAAGCCAGAAAAGCAAGAGGGATTGCTGCTTTCACTGCGCAGCGATCCCTCTTGCTGTTCTGGTTTCTGAGATTCAGAATTTTTTTTTTCTTGTTTTCCTCCTCCAAAAACTAGATGCGTCTTGTGGTCTGGTGTGCCTTATAGAGCAAAAAATGCGGTAATCAAAGGAAAGCTCATCTAATTCTATATCTGAAGTGTGCATGCACACGAAAGCTTATACCCAGAACAAACTTAGTTGGTCTCTAAGGTGCTACTGGACAATTTTAGTTATATATTTCGACTAATTCTATATGTTAGGAACTACCAATTTGTCATTCTTGTCAACCTGAAGTTGTTAGTAACACAGGGGTCCACAATGCACTATAAAATTGCAACATCCCTCTCCCCACAGATCTGAAGGTTGCAAGCATATCTGTCTTGATGTCAAGCCTCAAGCCATTTAAGGCAAGTAGCATGTGTGACTAAAAATATGACTTTCAGCAGCAAGTTGCCCATCCTGTGCAAGACAGAAATAGAGAAAGAAGTAAGCACCTGATATCATCCTCATTTGCAAACATGATCACCGCACGAGCATTTGGAGTCTCCATCAAGCGTTTGATGATCTTGTCAAATTCTCCTGGTCTTGGCTCACGGGGGATTTTTAGAGACTGAGCAATGCAGACACCACCTAGGCAGGGAGGGGGGGGGAAATAAAAAAAAAAAGCAAGCTGATTGGTGACAAGCTCGAAAATATTGTTAGCATATGATCACCATATTCAGTGCACAACAGAAACAGCATAGTGGTTTCATAGGAAACTGCCAAGCCAAACTCACTTTGGAAGTGCAGTCTTGCAGTTCCAATACGCCCACTGCCGTCCAACAAAACTGTAAAGGTAAAGGGACCCCTGACCATTAGGTCCAGTCATGGCTGACTCTGAAGGAGCGTCTCCTCCCCCATCGTTCTGCCCGGACACTGAGGTCTAGTTCCGAGGGCCTTCTGGCGGTTCCCTCACTGCGAGAGGCCAAGTTACAGGGAACCAGGCAGAGGGCCTTCTCGGTAGTGGCGCCCGCCCTGTGGAACGCCCTCCCATCAGATGTCAAAGCGATAAATAACTACCTGACATTCAGAAGACATCTGAAGGCAGCCCTGTTCAGGGAAGTTTTTAATATGTGACATTTTAGTTTATTTTTCATCTTTGTTGGAAGCCGCCCAGAGTGGCTGGGGAAACCCAGCCAGGTGGGCGGGGTACAAATAAATTATTATTATTATTATTATTATTATTATTATTGGGTTGCGGCGCTCATCTCGCTTTACTGGCCGAGGGAGCCGGCGTACAGCTTCCGGGTCATGTGGCCAGCATGACTAAGCCGCTTCTGGCGAACCAGAGCAGCGCACGGAAACACTGTTTACCTTCCTGCCGAAGCGGTACCTATTTATCTACTTGCACTCTGATATGCTTTCGAACTGCTAGGTGGGCAGGAGCTGGGACCGAGCAACGGGAGCTCACCCCGTTGCGGGGATTCAAACCGCCGACCTTCTGATAAGCAAGTTCTAGGCTCTGTGGTTTAACCCACAGCGCCACTTGCATCCCATAACAAAACTGTAGATGGTGGCAAATGCTCCAAATCCATTCTCCCTCCCTCTACCCTTTTGTCAAAGACTCCCATCAATGATAGAAAATGTCATTTGTTTAGCAGGTTCAGTATCTCCCTTGAACACTGTGACTAAGCATGACGGTAAGAATTCAATTCACTGGAAATATTGTGGTGGGTACAGTGAAAGTGCATTCTTCTCCCGGGAACCACAGCCGTATCTATTCCAGTTGCTAACCACAGCAGTTTAATTAAGTTGCCTTTGTTATTTAAACATCTAATTAAAGCAGTGTTGGGTCATCAGTTAAAACTCCCATGTTACTCACAGGTACTCACAGCAGAAGCCCAATAGCAGAAGTATGTTATACGCATACACACATTTTCCTTACAAAATCTGCTTGTGCCTATTAGGAAAGCTATAAGCCCTCTATCAAATGTAATACTTAGGGTTAATGGAATGCCATTTAACTTCTTGAAAAGGTGGTACTTCAAGACTATGCCTTGTGAGGTTGTGGCAAGTTTGTCTTCTTTCTTTCTTTTTTCCAGCCCTGAAATGGGCAGGATGCAGGGTTTATGAGAGTACCCTTTAATCCTCTAGTTTAGGGATATTTTTCACTGCCTTCCAATGCTGTGATTGTGCTGTCTTGCAGTCTTTTGATTGCTGATTGATCTGTGGCATTTTATTGTGATCTATTTTTATGTTTTGTTTTAAAAAGTTGAGTATTGGGGCCTTTGGGCTGAAATGCAATGTATAGCTAAACTGTAGCAGTAGTAATAAAAAATAAATATAGTAACAATATCATAATAATTAATGGCGTTTTAAGCTATCGTGTACTTTGTCAGATACCCGTTGTCTTTGTCCATATAACACAACATGCTCTGAAGAAACTTTTATTATATTTGAAATGGTGAGGACATTATATTTCATGCTGGGGGGTGGGCACCAGATTCGTACCCAAGCACAAGGGAGATTCAGGGTTGCCAGAACTTCATCCTTATTCAACAGCTAGTAAGCAGGTGGCACTGTGGGTTAAACCACCGAGCCTAGGACTTGCCGATCAGAAGGTCGGCGGTTTGAATCCCTGCGACAGGGTGAGCTCCCGTTGCTTGGTCCCTGCTCCTGCCAACCTAGCAGTTCGAAAGCACATCGTGCAAGTGCCAGTAGATAAATAGGTACCGCTCCAGCGGGAAGGTAAACGGCGTTTCCATGCGCTGCTCTGGTTCGCCAGAAGCGGCTTAGTCATGCTGGCCACATGACCCAGAAACCGTACGCCAGCTCCCTCGGCCAATAAAGCGAGATGAGCGCCGCAACCCCAGAGTCGGCCACGACTGGACCTAATGGTCAGGGGTCCCTTTACCTTTACCTTAAGTGTACAGTGGCAGTGCAAAATGAACATTTCATACCAGGGTTCTTCAGAAAGGGACTGACAGTAACATTGGCAGTTATTTGTTTGTTTGTTTGTTTGTTTGTTTGTTTATTTAGTAAAACCCTCTATAGAAAGCAGTACTGGATTTATGTATAAGCTAAGCAAGCTATAACTTAGGGCGCCATTCTCTTGCCCCCCCCAAAAAAAAATGTAAAGGGGAAAAAACTGGATGTACATTTCCAAAATATAAGATAAAAAACAAATAAAATCAAACCTACATACAGCAACGGTGTTTTGTGTTGTGTAGGCTCCTATGATGTAAGTAATGGGCCACGCCAGATGGACTGCTCCCTAAAATATCACTGGTTTGCTCATTTCTATATCAATTAGTTTGATAAAATACATATTTTGTTATGTGCAAATGGCTTTAGATACCTATTAGGTCCATAAATTACCATATAGCATATATTCTACACACAAAAAGCGACAATTTGTTGTTGACAGCTGGACATATGAAGGGCCCCATTACCTTCAGTAGCTTAGGGCCTCATCAAACCTAAATCTGGCCCTGATAGAAAGTGATGGTGCAACTGCAGTCAGAATACTGTTGGCAGATAGAATGCCCCATCTCAACAAGATATCTTGACATAGCTTCCATATACAGGAAGAGGAAAGCAATATGTAGCAACAAATATGGGACAGAGAAAATGAAGTACCGTATCCCTCCGCACATAAATAACTCAGCCTTTGCTCCCCCAAGACGTGATGATAGTCAAATTTACGGATATGCATCTATCAGTGTCTACTTGTCAGGCACAATAGCTAAATGGGCCTTTCAAGTTCAAGGGTAGGATACCTCTGGATGCTAGTTTGCTGGGAGGCAGACAACACAGAAGGGTTTGGTATTCAGGCTATGGCTCTGAGCTTGCTGGAAGCATATATCTGGTCTTTATCGGAACAAGATGCTGGACTAGGAAGGCCTTTGAACTGAGTATTGTTGCTGTTTCATGATTGATATATTCCAACAGTGCTAAATATTGGTTAGGATGGAATGTGAATATTTTACAGCAGCAACTTTTCTAAAAGAATCAAGTAGAATTTGACAGTACAGATGAACCGTGATAGCTAGAATGCATGAGCTAGTAAAACAACATTTATGAACATGACCCAAAGCTTTCCTGGCTGATGCACACCTTTCTTTCCTTACTAATTCAAGTGGCTTTCCAGCCCTACAGCTTACTTCTTTTTCATACAAAGGCAAGAGCAATATAATTTCAATATATTGCAAGGCAACACAATTTGCACCACAGTTAAATCAATTCAGGGGCAGACAGCAATCTATTAAATAAAAGTTAAGCTTCAATCAGCAATGCAGAAATTCTGGGGCATGAAGAAATTTAAAATAACATGCAGCTAATAATACACTGCCTTGGAAGACATGCTAAATTTGTAGGGAACAACCATTAAGAGTTAATTAGAACCTACACCGTGCCTAGATTATGAAGATGGAGGGAAATCCTAGCTGCCTAGGACTATCAATGGGCAAGTAGATACAAATTTGGTCAGTCAAAATAAGGCAAAGTTATTTTTTGTCGTGGAAAGAATACCTTCTTAATTAAAGTGATGCCACTGCCCCACATGAGGAAATTAGCTCCAAAATATGTTGAGTATTAAAAGACGCCTGCTTCTTGGGAGAAAAGCAATGACAAACCTAGACAGCATCTTAAAAAGCAGAGACATCACCTTGCCAACAAAGGTCCGTATATTTAAAGCTATGGTTTTCCCCGTAGTGATGTATGGAAGTGAGAGCTGGACCATAAAGAAGGCTGATCGCCGAAGAATGGATGTTTTTGAATTATGGTGCTGGAGGAGACTCTTGAGAGTTCCTTGGACTGCAAGAAGATCAAACCGATCCATTTTGAAGGAAATCAGCCCTGAGTGCTCACCAGAAGGACAGATCCTGAAGCTGAGGCTCCAATACTTTGGCCACCTCGTGAGAAGAGAAGACTCCCTGGAAAAGACCCTGATGTTGGGAAAGGTGGAGGGCACAAGGAGAAGGGGACGACAGAGGACGAGATGGTTGGAAAGTGTTCTCGAAGCTACGAACATGAGTTTGACCAAACTGCGGGAGGCAGTGGAAGACAGGAGTGCCTGGCGTGCTCTGGTCCATGGGGTCACGAAGAGTTGGACATGACTAAACGACTAAACAACAACAACAAATCTTGCACAATAATTTGCTATTTACACCAAATGCTGTTTACACAGTGTCATGTTTTACACTATTACAAAATGAAGCTGACCCAATAAAAAGACTAAACATTTTAGAAATCTCAGCCAAGTGGCCATAAGTGTCAGGGTAAGTATGCATTTTTGTACACATTACTTGGTTGGAGAGCAGCATCATGAAATTCAGAAAAGTATGAATTTTGAGGGACTTATGTGTGTTGGTTCTTGTATTGTTTCAGAAGATGTGATTTTGGTATGTTCACCTTGCCGTGTGAACTGAATCAAACCTCCCTGAAATCCCTATGCATGCAATATTGTTTCTGAGTATCATTTCCACATATGTCTGGCAACATCTAAATCCTTGGCTGGATCAGCAAGCTGTTAGCCTATAGCTGACCCAATATGACAATAAAATTTGCCTTAAATCCAGTGCTTTTTTTCTGGGGGTGCGCATACCCCTAAACATTTTGTGAATCTAAGTCTGGCCTCATTGAGGGGCAGT